GTGGCAGGCAATTGGCTATTGACTTCAGCTGATTTTAAATATTTGTTTGCTTTCTTTGAAGCTCCACACAAAATATGTTTATATCTATTTATGTACATCGATTACGTGCTATAAAGAATGATCCTCAACAAATTCATAGAATGTTTTTCTGATGCAAGCAAAGCAAAACTAGTTGAACTAAGAATTGTATAAAAGAAATAAATAACTAGAATAATTATTAAAATAAGCATTGACATTTAAGAATTATATCATTATTAAATTGAATTTTCAATAAATATGTTGGACTTAGAAAAGTCAAGACTTTTTCCTATATATAAAGAACCGCCTGTTTTCTGAAACTTAACCGTTCGAATTTATATTTTCCTGTGTGTTTTTCTGCTTATTTTGCCCCAAGCTGACCAACTTATGTCTTAAACTTCGCCATATCTTAATAAATATATGATATTTTAATGTTTAAAGCACTCCAATACCAACCAATTTATATATACATATATATATATATATATATATATATATATATTTATGGTATTCTTTCAGGTTCAAGACAACTTTTGAAACGGTCTATTCATTAGATGCTGCCACAATATTGCGAATAGACTCGTTGCATTTATTTTGGCCTCAAGAGAAAGCAGTTTTTTTTCTATTGCAGCAACAACTGTAACTGCAACACACACCAACACACACATACAGACACACATACACAGAGACACACGATCGCTGCGCATGCGCAACTCGGGTTTTATTTTTTTTGCAGCGGCGTCTAGAATGCAATTTCTGTTTCTCTAGCGAAACGTTTGCCGTGCGCTTCTCACTGTCTATGTGTGTGTTTGAACTTTGAAAAGTGGGTGAATGTACAGTAATGTTTGCTGCATGCTGAATGCAACGCTGACGCCGCTGCTGCGGCCGCTGCTGCTGTTGCTAAACAAAAAACGTGGCAAATTCGTGATGCACAAAGCGCTGCCGGCCCGCAGAATTGGGCAGCATTAGGCGCAGGCAACTTAGAATGCATTAGTTGGGCTCTCGACGCCAGTCAAAGCTGACCCAAAGCAAAAAGCTTAACCAGCATAAATCTTTTTTATATACAAATAATTAATGCTTATATTACAGCTTTTTTAAGATTTTAACCGTTCTTATCAGCTCGTGTTTGATGCATTGAAGGCCACGCCGTTTCATAAATTGGCACACTTATGCAAAGTCATCGACTCACGCACATACTAACAAATACAGTCACACACACATAGACAGCGACTAGTCAAAGTCGTCGTCGTCGTCTGGCAGGCAAGCGCTTAGCGCGAGGCCGAAGAAAAACAGTTAACTTGTTTCGCGCGCTGAGCCGAAAGCAAAGCTGCGCTCACCATGGCGCTCAGCTCTATGTGAGTGCCTGTCTATGTGTGTGTTTGTGTTTGTGTGTGTGTTGCGTTGCATAACTTTCATGCCAACGCAGCCAGCGACGACTCGCCTCAAAGTTCATTCGCCTCGTGCACTCCATTCGCCTGCGCTTACCTCGCTCTCTCTCTCTCTCTCTTTCACTCTTTGCTCACTCTTTGCCCAACACTATTCACCCGGCACCCGCTGCCTGCTGGCTCTCTGCGGCTAACTGCTTCTTAGGCTTTTTCTTTTTGGCTCAAATCTGTTGTTGTTGCTTTTGTTGTTGTATCGATTGCTTTTCTCTTTTTTATTTTCAGAGCTTGGCTTTCGTTTGGTTTTCTTTGGCTCATCGCGCTGCCTGAAAACTTTGCGTGTTGTTGTTTTGGGTCTCTTGAAAAGGAATGTTTGCTGTTGTTGTTGTTGTTGTTGTTGCTGGCGACGTTTTTGGGTGAATGCGTTTTTTTTTATCTGTGGGATACGTGTGCGTAAGTGTGTGTCGCATCTGGGAAACACACATAAGATCTGTGCAGCATTGTTTAAGGTCAGTTCTCTTACCTAACTTTGATTGCATTTCATTTTTTTTTGTTTGTTGGTCAACAATTTTTTGGGTAAAGAGTCGGCTTTTTTTTAATTACTTACGATGAGTTCGGTGACCGACAGCTAAGTACTTCTGCTGATGCCTACATAAAGTGCCATAAACTATGACTGCATTTAGAGGTGAGAAGTTCAAATAATACTTAAGTGTCTAGGGTTATGTTTTTGTCATACGGAAAAAACATTTTGTTGGATGAAAGTCAAGTTAGAAAGGAGCGCATTTAAGGAATGATAGCAGCATTAGAAACTATTCAACAATAAGCAAATTTGTACATGTTCAGGCATATTTATAGCCCATTTTGAATGCACATGCATATGCATGTCAGCCATGAGCTATTTTTTATATAGTAAAAAGCTCTGATCGCTATGTAATCGACATATACAAAATCATTTCGATTTAAAAAAGAATTCTTTTAGTGATTATTGAAATACTAATGCATTTTTAAGTTTACAGTTCAAAATACACAATTGAAGAATTCAATCAATTTTCTATGCCCACGCGAGCTGCAAGAGCAGAAATGCAAAAGCTCAAAATGCTTAGAATAAAAATGCATGCAAGTCCCAAACAAGCGCACGAGCAAGCAAAAGCGACTGCCAACAACAACAACACGCAGCAGTGCAAATTGTGACGCCCCACCATGCAAACATACTCACACGTACACACACACAAAGAGCGATAGCGAGAGCGAGAGAGGCAGACCCCACGCTGTGAGCGGCTGAGCAGCGCGATGGCCGCGACAGCGACATTCAACTTGAACTTTTTGCGCACTCACGCGCTCTCTCTCGCTCGCGTGTGCTCATTGGCTTCGGCTGCTCGTTGCATAGAAAATAATCAAGATCAAGTTTCTTCCGGCATTTTTGCACAAAAACAAAAACTAGAGCTTTTTGTGTTTGTTGCTGCCGCTATGTAAAGAGCACAAGAGAGCGAACAATAGTTAAGAGCGCGGCGAGTGCGCCAATGCAGTAGCTTTTGCATAAGTTGAGTGTGTGAGAGAGAATGCACATGTGTGTGTGTGTGCGTGTGTGTGTTCCCCGCTTGTTTGTGTGCTTTATGGCAAGTGCATTTGTGTGTTTGTCAGTCAATCTGTTATGATGTCACTGCCAGCGCCGCCTTCGCCCTGCCTGCGGCATTTTATGGGTTTAGCTGCAAGCTTTTGCATATGAACTTTTGCATGTGCGCTAAAATGTTTCAATTTTATGCATTTTGTTTTTATGGCGATTACAAAAGTTTTCCATTTTTTGCCCAAAACGCAACCAACTCATTTTCACTCGCTCGTTGGAAAGCGCGTCTTCCTCAATCGATGGCAACAAACTATGTATGCTATATCGTATGTGCAAAGTATGTGTGCGCGATTCTTGGAAACCGACGAAAACGTAGCAGCGCGAACAACAAGTTGCCACAGCAGCAGCAGCCGCAGCAACAGCAACAACAACGAGTGCAACACAGTAGCGCCAGCAGCCGTGGCAGTGGCAGTGGCAGAGGCAGTGGCAGCGGCAGCGTCATCGTTGCAAGCATTGAACTCGATTTTGTTTTCATTGCCGCTGAATTTCTAAAACGCAGCTAATTAGTCGAGAGTGTTTGTGTTGTTGTTGGCTACGCAGTCGTCGCTTCTTTAGCTGTGTTCCACTTTTCTGGCAGTTTTCCACTTTTCCTCAGTCGCCGCAGCAGATTTCACACGCGGCCATGCAATTCATCATAAAAATTATTGTAAACTGCAGTCAATTGGCCAGGCGAGCAAGAAGAAGAAGAAGAAGCAGCAGCAGCAGCAGCACCAGCCGTTGCAACGGTGGGGCAGAAGGTGGAGCAACAGTTGGCCAAGGCGGGCGGGGCTGGTGGCAGGCAGATGTTTGCTTACAAAAAACCAAATGAAAATAAGTTTTTCCAAGTCGCCCAAGCCGCGCCTTGTGTGTTTGTTTTAATAAAATGAAAGTTTTTGCGCGCCAATCTTTGACACACATACAAAGCAGCCAGTCAGTCAGTCAGTCAGTCAGTCAGTCAGTCAGTCAATTAGTTAGTCAATCAGCCAGCCAGCCAGTCAGTCAGTTAGCCAGTCAGACGTGGAAGCAGACTTTGCTTACCGGCTGCCAGCCTGCAAAGCAATGCAACGGTCGTTGCCGTTTCGTTTTTCGTTGTGATTTCATTTTCTAATGTTGTCGCTGCGATATTGTTTTCTACTTGCGCTGGATTAATTTTTCGTCTGGGCCATAGATGGGCATATGAAAAGTAAGAAAAGCGCAGCAAAATAAAATCAAGCATACGTCGCGTATGACGAGCGTCGGCTGTTAAAAGTGAAAAATAGCCACAGCACCTAGCACACAAAAGTTGTGCGTGTGTGCATGTGTGTGTGCGTGTTTGTGCGTAGCTGTGTGAGCAACGAATTGTTAAAAAGTAAAAGAGAGTCGCACCAAGCAGCGAAAGGGAGCACAAGCTTACGCAGCACCAGTAGCTGAATGGGAGCGGTGGCGGCGGGAGCAGCTGATGGAAATAACGCTTCACTTTTTTTTCGGGAGTTCAACAAACTTTTCGGGCAACAGCTTAGAAAGAACTTGGGTCAATAAACTATGGAAGCCACAGTGATGATCTGTTGCGGCTGTGGATGATGATGATGATGATGATGATGATGATGTCGGAAATGGCGCTTGCTGCCGTGGCTATTGTTAGATATACACGCATATAAAACAATCGACGCAAGAGGTCAATGGCAGACGCACTCGAATCTCCTATGAATGTTAAGAGAAGCTTTGTAATGAAATTGCTTGACGAACAAAAAGTTGAAAGAAACTTGGCCACCACTTAAAATTACAATTTATTTACACACGCATATTTATTTAATCCCCAAAGAAGGGCTCGTTGAAATGATAATAGTTGACTTCGCAATTGTGTTCAGCGTCGTTCAAAATTAACGGTCACGTTTATGCTACTAGCGCCATCTAGTTTACATATGTGCAAGTCATGACCAGCATCGATAATTGTAGCATTGCAGCTCTATGAAATCGACAAGCCGCCATATTGAACGATAAGTCTTTGTGGCTTCAGAATCGATATACACAACTAGCTATACTCACAAATCGCCAAAAATAAATAACAAAACGCATCTAAACAATAAAAAATGAGTTCACCAACGAGTAAGAATGCTAGTGAAACGAACAACAATAGCAACAAGCCAAAGAAGTCGGCCAAAACGAATTCCAATGCAAAGGGCGGCACCATGGACACGCGCGGAGAATTGGCGGACCTAATCAAGAAGAAGGCAGAAACTTCGGTAACAAACAAATAAACAAACAATCATTGCAACAAATACAACATTACACCATATGCAACACAATCAACAGGAACAACTGGCCAACCTAGAACGACAGATTTACGCCTTCGAGGGATCCTACCTGGAGGACACGCAGCTCTGTGGCAACATCATACGCGGCTGGGAGCGCTACCTCACCTCCAACAAGGCAACCAACTCGAAGGCGGACAAACGCAATCGCAAATTCAAAGATGCTGAGCGCCTGTTCTCCAAATCCAGCATTACCTCAATGGCCATATGCAATCGTGAGTAGCCATCAGCAATTGGAGTGCAAACTCTACTAAACATTTTCAATTAATACAGCTGAGCGCGCCAGCGAATCGGATTCCATAACGAATGAAGACTCCAGCGACAATCAGATCTCAATTAACCAGAACACAACAACTGCTCACGATGGGGCTACATCAATTAAATCTCAGGATGAAAAGGGTAAGGCGTGGCAAGACGAGGTGGGCGATATCAGTGTGACGGATTGAAGCGTGCTGAAGATGATGAAGAAGAAGTTTGATCGTGTGCTGTGATATGTGTCGGTGCTTTAATTAAATATCAAGAAAATTGAAGAAGCCTTTATAACTATAAGTTAACTTAAGAAGTGAACTAACAGGTTTAGCATGTAATTTGATCCAACGACTTTAATTAATGTCTTAATGGAACTTTGCAGATTCGCCGTCCCATCGAAACGAGTCGGGAAGCGTTGTCGGCTCAAGCAGCAGCAACAAGGACCTACCCAGCACGCCCACCACCAACACAAAAAGCAAATTATCATCTAGCTCCAGTGCGACGGCAAAGAAAAGCGGACACATTAATAAGAAAATACGGCATCGATAATGAGCTCAATCCAAAGCTTGGATTATCGTCGACCGCTCTAAAAAGAGTTTTAATCGTGTTTTAGCGTTTCACTTGTACATTTAAATGATTAAACTAAATTAATCAACGATCGCTCTTTTTATTACAAAAAAAATTCATAATATACATTAAATTTAGGCTACATGTAATCACATGTCTATGTATAATAAAGTAAAATTAACTATATATAATACGGCAACAGAATTCAAAGTGAATGTCTTAGTTCTTTCCTTTGGCCATTCGATCAAATATGCCCAACAGTTTACCGCGTGTCATTTCCTTGGACTCTCGCAGGCCTAGTTGATAGATTTCATCATGCATGGACTTAATCTTATCTATCAATTGCTCTGGTGTTAGGCTGGCCAGCTCTGGAAAAGTTCAAAAATTGTTAAGGCCCGTAGGATGCTGGAAAATTCCCAATTCCTCTTACGGTTCATCCTTGCCATGTCCGCACTGGTAAAGTTTTGTGTGCATTCGGCGCTTGGTGTGTGTATCGGTGTTTGGCTCATGGTCAGAAAATCATCCATTCCAGGAAAGCGTTCTGGCCACTGCACCGGTGATTCACGCAGTGTTTCCATTGATATTAGCTCATCCTCTTTGGCGCTCAGCACCTTGTTGCTGCTGGCATTGCCTGTCGTCCCCGCTGCGTTGGTGTCCGTTTCCGACTTCAGAACAGTCTCCGGAGAGAACATTTCAACCCCCGGTTCCATATTGTTCATTATTGCACAGATGTGGTGTAAACGTATTAAATTCAGTTAAATGAATTAAATAAATTAATTAAAAAGGCGTTTGTATTATTAAACCGAGCAATGTGACCGCATTTCCCTAAGTTGCGGAGTTTTCTGTTAAATTGTGGTTCTAAATGAACTTCGATAGCACTAGTTCAGAATGAAAGTGTATCGATATCACTATCGAACAGCACGATTTTTTTGAAAACCTGTGTTCATTTTTCATTATTTTAACAATACTGATGACAATGCTAAAGTAATTCTTGATGTAGGTCTCTTAATATAGCCCTTGATGATATTGTCATGGTCATATCGTATTGGAGTTTTAGAATAAATCGTTTAGCGATGCGGGTATCGATAGAGCAATCAGAATCCTAAACACTAGCCAACACTACTCTAATCGAGGCTATCACAAATATTTCATTTTAATTCTTCCGTTTTGTTTAACGAAATCTACGCTGGAAAGAAACTGCAAGTGGCCAGCAGCAGATTAAGGAATAGAACGACCACAAAAACAAGTTCAGCCATGGGCACGTCACCGGTCCTTCTAATTTGTTTATGTCTGCTCTTCAGTAGCTGCTACGTGTCGGTGTCAGCCGATGAGCACAATCATAAGGTATATTTGTATATGTGTCTGTATGCATGCATCTGTAGTGTAGGTGACACTTCGTATAAGATCTTCACTAAACATAAAACAACACTTGCAGTATAATGATCGAGATGAGGTGGTGTTATGGATGAATACGGTTGGTCCGTATCATAACCGGCAGGAAACTTATGCCTACTTTTCGCTGCCGTTCTGCAGTGGTACCAAATCGAGCATATCGCATTACCATGAAACACTCAGCGAGGCACTCCAGGGCGTTGAGCTAGAGTTCAGTGGCTACGAGATGGAGTTCAAGACGGATGTCCCGCGCACGGTTATTTGTATGGTTAAGCTAACCGAGGAGAATGTGAAGGCGTTTAAATATGCTGTGATGAACGAGTACTGGTATCAGATGTACATCGATGGTCTGCCCATATGGGGCAAGGTCGGTGAGCGGGATGAAAACGATGGCAAGTATTACATACACACGCACAAGAAATTCGATATTGGCTATAATGGCCAGCAGATTGTGGACATAACGCTAACAACGGAAATGCGCGAGGAACTGAAAACGGATGCCAAAATCAAGTTCTCCTACGAGGTCAATTGGAAGCCCACAAAGATCGAGTTTAAGAATCGCTTTGACAAGTATCTGGATCCAAATTTTTTCCAGCACAGGGTATCTATGCCAGCTCATACTTCTAATTAACATAGCTAATTTTTATAATTTATTTGCACTCAGATACATTGGTTCAGCATCTTTAATAGCTTCATGATGGTAATTTTCTTGGTGGGTCTGGTTTCTATGATATTGATGCGTACGCTGCGCAAGGATTATGCACGCTACAGCAAGGATGAGGAGGTGGATGACATGGAACGCGACTTGGGCGATGAATACGGCTGGAAACAGGTGCATGGCGATGTTTTTCGCACACCACCAAATTCACTTCTCTTCTCCGCGCTCATCGGTGCCGGCTATCAGCTCATCTCAGTGGTCTTTTGTGTCATCATGTTTGCGATTGTCGGTGAACTGTATACAGAGTGAGTGAACAGCTGAACTAACATTGAAAATAGTTTACAAAACTCTTGCTTCATAGACGTGGCTCAATGCTATCTACGGCCATATTTGTATATGCAGCTACATCGCCCATTAATGGCTATTTTGGTGGCTCACTTTATGCTCGACTAGGCGGTCGCTTGTGGATACGTCAGATGCTCGCTTCCGCGTTTACGGTGCCTGTCGCCGTTTGTGGAACTGCGTTCTTTATTAACTTTATTGCCATTGGTTATCATGCATCACGCGCCATACCCTTTGGCACAATGGTTGCAGTTACCTGCATTTGCCTGTTTGTCATCTTGCCACTGACTCTCGTTGGCACCGTGGTGGGACGTAATTTGGATGGTCAGCCGGATTTCCCTTGTCGCGTAAACGCTGTACCCAGGCCCATTCCCGAAAAGAAATGGTATATGGAACCGTTGATTATTGTGCTGCTGGGCGGTGTGCTACCATTTGGTTCCATTTTTATTGAAATGTATGTGATTCAATGTTATTGTTTATTGCTGGAGCTTATCTCTTAATACTATCTGCTCTCTCTTTTGATATACAGGTACTTTATCTTCACCTCGTTCTGGGCGTACAAAATCTATTATGTCTATGGCTTCATGTTGCTCGTGTTTTCCATTTTGACTGTAGTCACCGTTTGTGTTACAATTGTGTGCACATATTTCCTGCTGAATGCCGAAGACTATCGGTGGCAATGGACGAGCTTTATGGCAGCTGGCTCCACGTCCATTTACGTATATGCCTATTCCTTTTACTACTTCTTTTTTAAGACCAAGTACGTGACCTTAAGCATCACCATTGTTAACATCTTTAAACCATATCACTTTGTTTTTGCAGAATGTTTGGACTATTCCAAACAGCTTTCTATTTTGGCTACATGGCACTCTTCAGCGGCGCTTTGGGCATCATCTGCGGCACCGTTGGCTATGTGGGCACGAATCTCTTCGTGCGTAAAATCTATTCCAATGTGAAAATAGACTAAATTCGTGCGGCTGTAGAGTTCAAACCATTTGAAACCATTTACAAATGTATTTATTTTGTAGTCCTTTAGTTCACCCACTTGTGTTTATATATATTCATTTTGCTCTTTATCAATGCTCTTACAATTTTCTCATATTGGTGTGGATTAAAAATGAATGAATTAACCAAGTCAAAGAGCTCACACCAATGATAACATAACAGCCGAAGCGTCGCCCCTGATCTGATCTATGTATATATAAATATATGGCACATATACTATGTATTTGTATGCATATGTGTGTTCTGTATGTGTTTATGCGTGTGTGCAGCATATATACATATATATATATATTGTAATATCAAATATGCCTAGAAACTTATCAAAAATCTATGCAATTGCAAATGTGACTTCAAATATTTTGCGCCAATTAAGTTTATATACATTGCAGAAATGTGCTGATTAGCAATAGTCGATAATATTAAATAAATAAAATCAACATATAAAAAATGATGTCTATAAAGTCATTAGAGTCAGGGAACGATTTAATCGAACTAACCTCTTAAGATCTCTTATCGAAACATGATTATTTCATGTTTTCTATTTCGACTGGGTATACGAAGAGTTTTATTGGCTAATTGAAACGTGTTCGTATTTATCAAAGGGTAACAATGCGTAAGTGAATTGCGCAATCATCCAGACTAGTGATATTGCAAGTCGGCCAATTGATTAGCTTGAAAGCAGTCTATCATCCTTAGGAAAAATCCATACCAACGGCTACGACGGTTGCTTCCGTACTTAAACCTACAATCTTTTGTCTTTTGGAATTTCTGCAGTACTTATAAATGTACTCAAACACAGCACCGTGCCGCAGCTCAATGGGGTTTATTTAGAGAGCTGCCACTCAAGATAGACTATGTTGTGCTTGGCATACGGTATGCTTGTAACTGATAAAGCACATACATACATATATATATGTGGCAGAACATTTGAATAGGCGACTCATTAAATTCGGGGCGCGAACATGTTTGCATTAATTTATGCTAATGAAAAGTGCGTTTGGATATTCTGGTTGGCTTTACCTCTACTTAAGAAATACATATTTATGTGTATTAAATAACGGCATTCGGAAACCTGAAAACCACTTGTTTTTGGGCGAGTGTGGAAAAGTGTCTGTTCAATCAATTTCATTCACAATCAAACCCACCAGGCTCTAAAATCAAGATCTCTTCACTAGGGTATTATTATTTACTTATTTTATTTTTTCCCTCATGCCCGTACTGTAATAAACATCAAGTCAGCAACAAATTTAATGGGCTGATTGACACGAAACGATTGACATGGCCCAAGAATAGAAGCGACCCAATTTAAGCCACAGCATGAGCATGTTTCCCGACATAAACAACCATAGATGTCAAGATGCTGGCGATGGCACAACCCACTGTGTATCAGTTTCCCTCTCTCTGCCTGACTGACTATTTCTTTTAAGTATGTTTAACGATTATCTTATGCGAGAACAGTTATGGGCCAGCAGCCCACCTGGATAATACGTTTTGGGTCTCTCCACACATTTCACTCATTTATATGCACATGAAAATGTTTGGAAACCAATTTCCACTCGCATCGAATATCATTAAGAATAGCTCTGAAAATTCTTTAGAGCCCAGCTCTCGGTATAAATACCAATGATCCGATCTTGGCTCAAGTCAGTCTGTAGATGCTGTTGGAATAGACCACACTAAGAGATCATGTCATCGCATAGCCTTCTGGCTGCTCTGCTGCTGGGTAGGTTACCAGGACGCTTTGTTTAATAATCCTTCAAGTGAAGTCTTTTCAAATCTTAAAGGTATTTGCTCCACGACCAGCGCCTCGTTGTTGAACTGTAATTGTGAGCCGGGTCCTCGAGGACCACCAGGACCGCCAGGCCCTCCTGGTGCTGGCTTTGGAAGTGGTGGTGGAGCTGGTGGTGGAGTTGGCGGTGGTGGTGGTGGTGGTGTCATTGGTGGTGGTGGTGGCCTTTGGGGCTATCCGCCTATGCCACCATTCGGTACCAACATTCAACCTATAATTGGTCCTAGGGGCTTGCCTGGGCCGCCGGGACCACCGGGCTACTGCTTTCCCTGTCCATATAGTGATTACGGACCACGACCAGGAATAGGATCAGGAATCGGACCAGGATTTGGACCTGGATTTGGACCAGGGTTTGGACCAGGATTTGGAACAGGTTTTCGACCAGGATTCGGACCAGGTGGGGGAGGAGGGGGAGGAGGAGGAGGCGGAGCTTTTGGTCAGGGCATATCCTCCGCTATTGGCAATCTTATAATCATACCATCCGGCGTCAATGGACGCGCCCAGCTCTTCCGCATTACTCCTGATGGCCAATTGGTGCGCATCGAGAATCCCAAAAATGATCTCAATGAGATTTTACCGCATAATTTCCAAGAGCAACTCGCACAACAGGCGGCCGTGCCCACTGCCGCCTCAACGACCGGGATAACGCCACCAAATCCGCGGCCAGGGCCCACAGCGCCCACGCCCGACGATCAGCCCGACGGTCTGGACGAGACCATGTTTGCAGCGACGAATTCGGAGCGCAAGGATTCGATGCGTGGCAACTCTGAGGCCAACGATTGGCGCCGTGTCCTGCTGCTGGGTGAGCCGCCCGTCATCAGCGCTGCCAGCTCCGAGCAGGCCAACGCCAACCAGCTGGAAAACAGCATGGACAGCTTTCAGCGAGCATTGGTCGATCTGAGGGATAAGTATGCCTCCCTAATCCAGCCGCCCACGGTCGATCAACGATACGCCGTTATTCTATAGACACTAACTAACACCTGAACACACTTATTATAATAATAAAAGTACTGATAATTTCTAAAATTTACTGTTATTGCAAAAAAATTTAGGAGAGAAAAGTTTTAGGAGAGAGAATTTTTTAAGATTTTTTAAAGAGTTTAGTTTTGATATATTCTGGAAAGTGGAATATACAAAGAGCCAAGTTCTATTATAAGTATATATTTTGATATATATATGTATATATATAAAGACGATTACTGATTTATGAAATTAATCATTTTAATCCGATTTCCGTGTAGTTTACAGTAAGTGATAAGATTTAGAAAGTTGTTTGTTCAAAACAAATTGAGACCAAGTCTTAAGAATTTAATTTACGATCATGACAATTTAATAGTACAGATTGACTATAATCAGAGAATCAAGCGTATATAACATACAGCTGCGATAGAATATAATGATAAGCACAAGAAGAAGTGCACTATATAGGACAGCCCAACTAGAAGATATATATATTCTATATATAAGTGTATATAGACAAAATCCAAATAAGAAAGGTTTGAATTAAATACTACTTATTATAAGCATAAAGCAGAGAAGTGCTTTATTAACGACCGATTCTTCCTTTAAGAATAGTCATATAGTCTGAATAGACGCGATTCGACAGATATGAAGAGAATATTGGGGGAATATTAAATTATATCGTGTAATAAATTACAGAATTTGATGAATATATCTTGAAAATAAGAAAAGTTTTCCATACAAAAATGAGTTTTAGAGTTTTTTGAACAGTTCCTTCTATGAAGCTAAATGATAAAGTAGTCCAAAACTAATATAGAAAAACTCGCCAGTGCCAAGCTTGGTCAAATTATCTTGAACAACAAAAATGTTTTTTAAGAAAGAACTTAATATATGACCGATCATTCCTATGACTGATATATGATATATATAGCGATTCGATCTGGCCGTTTCCGATACATGTACTGTACGGAACAGAAAGAAGGATATAGAAACAGATCCGATCTAACTAGAAACAGACAAGCAGACTTGGCTATTGATCGACAGTTGATCTTAGCCTTTTATAGTTATATACTTGGCATACGATCTCATACTGCCTGTTAGATTCATTCAAAAAAAGTCAATATGTCCATTTTTACGTATTATCATTTACAATTTAAATTATTATTTCTTTTTCAAACCGAAAACTCTTAAGAAATTATTAAATTGAACAAAAGAGCAATGCTGTCAAAAAATTCTACTGCAATTGTCTTTTTCTTTTTATTATAAAAAGTCCCATGATATAATCAACTTTTAGAGTGAGGACGCTTCAAGAACCGATTAACGCCATGTCATGGAAGTATATTCGCCTTGGAGAACGGGTTTATCTTCTAATAGTAAGTGCTCGTAATATGTTTTTGCGCAAAATCCATATATAATATACATATTTAAGTACAATTATATTTGAAGATAGGGGAATATAATCTGCGCCGAAATCCCGAAAAAATACAATCAAATCTGAAGCCCAATGTGATGACGTTCATAATACACCCACAGCAATCTTTGAGTATTCACTTAATGATAAAGCGTACGTGAGAATCGTTTGCTATCGACTCCAAGGAGCACGACTTTTAATTAAAATTAAGGGTCATTCAAGCTGTCAATCAATCACAGGCTGTCTGTCCATCGCCTACGCACGCGGCATAGGCCAACATATGTGGAATGGTGTTCTGCTCGTACACGCCGGTGAAGAGATGAGCCCAAGGACCGGAAGCAAAGACGCCAACATCCTCGCCGCCATGCGTCTCTGATTCCAGTGGAGCTGTGGCCGGGAACAGCTGGGCCGGGTCTGGGTCCTCAGCGAACAGCGTCATGGGATCAACACGCTCATGGGTCTGCGTATTGTAATAGGTCGCAAAACTCTTGCCATTGGCATAGCTCAGGGCCAGATAGGACTTGCCATCGGTGCCCGTGGACTTGGCCTTGCCGAAGATGTCGCTGCCACGCTTCTGATAGCCGCCCAAGTTGAAGGTGTGCGAATGATCTGATGTAACCACAATCAGGGTGTCCTTCTCGCTGGTCATTTTGCGCGCACGCGCCACAGCCTTGGACAGCTCGGCGGTCTCGTCGAGCGCAATGCGCGCCATGGTATCATGATGGCTGATATCAATTTTGCCGCCCTCCACAAACAGGAAGTAGCCATTCTCCTCGGACTCCAGCATTTCAATGGCCTTTTCTGTCATCTCCTCCAGCGTGGGCTCAGTATTCTCCGGATCCGCCAGCTGCTCGAGATGATAGTGCAAATGACTCTTGGTGAACAGACCCAACAGGCGATCCGTTTCGGTGGCATTCACCTTCAGCAGCTTCTTGCGGTTCTTCACATAGGTGTTGCGTTCGGACATGGCCTCGAATTCCTCGACCAGATTGCGTCCGTCGGTGCGACGGCCCTTGTCATAGAACTGGGCATCTATAAAGTTACGTCTGCCTCCGCCGAGCATCACCTTCAGCTTGCTGCCCACCTCGCCATGGATCAGCTGCACCGCAATATCGTCCAGACCCTTCGCCTGTCCACCGCAAGCCTCCTCCAGCACCGCATTGTTCTCCCATTCACGGTCGGCGGTGTGTGCATAAACGCCCGAAGGCGAGGCATGTGTGACACGAGTGGTGGTCACCAATCCGGCGGCCTTGCCCGCATCCATTGCCCATTTGGCCACAGAGAAGACGTGATTCGTTTGGTTGGCCATGGCCAAGCAGTCGCCACGCTTGATGTGTGCATTGACGCCGATGGTGCCATAATTGGCTTTAACGCCGCACAGATACGACGTGGACGTGGACGCCGAGTCGGGCACAATTTTGTCCACACAGTAGGTCTTGGAGAGGCCCGTGTAGGGGAACTCCTCAAAGGAGAGCTTCAGCTCCTCGCCACCCATGTAGCTGCGAGCCGCAGCCAAGGTAGCCAGTCCCATGCCGTCGCCCAGGAAGAGTATAATGTTCTTCGCACGCTGCGTGTTGCGCACATAGCTCAGCTTCTCCAGAATGTGTTGCTTGCTGGCCGAGAGCCAATATTCGTGCGTTTTCTCTGCCTTGATGCGGGGTTCAGGTGCGCTCCTTGCAAAGTCCTCCAGATGGGGATGCATGCCTTCGTCGTCATCCTCGGGCACCTGACCAGGCACTGCGCCGCCCAGCACGCACGCCGCCAGAAGCAGCACCACCCACAGACCAATTAGGCAACGTAGTGTCTGCATTTTCAGGTTGTCGGCTCGATAGTCCAGCAATTACTGTACTCGACGCGGCTGATCGTCAGCTTTATAACCACGGTTGGGGCTATTGTTGTGAAGTGATGATTATGACGCCTGAGCTTGATTTATTTATGGGCACTTCTTTAGTACAGGTGTCAAATCAGCACTCGATTCTGCGCGATTGGCACTTTAGATTGAACAAATCACAATAACAAATGATATACTCGGCGGAATAATGGACAAAGGCCCACTCGTAGGCTATATAACCATGTCTGCCATACGCTGGCTCAACAGTCTAACGCCAGCTGTTGGACGGCACGAAACCGAGTAGAAACCCCCAAAAAAAAGTTTAACAAAATGACAAAAGGCTTGAAAAGAGCTAATTACTCAGTGTGGTGCATTCTGGCCCTCGCTCTGATGACGTGCCCGGCCTGGGCAGATTTATCCGATGAGCAAGAGAATGGTGAGTAAATCGATCAGATCGAAGGAGAGGAGAGAGTACTGCGTTCTGGCTGAGCAACAGTGTAGCTAATTCAGCTGTTTCCCAGCCAAATTGGGCTATAATCAGAGGTTGTCAGGGGGAAACAGTTGACAACTTAAGAGGGTCAAACGGTCAGAAAGCTTATTTTAGCTATTAATAAAATTGGCTTCAGCTACTTTTTTGAAGCTGCAAAAAAAATAGCTAGAATATGATCAAAAATGATGAACAAAAATAAAAGCTAACTTCTTTAACGGGTTTTTAAATAGTTTTATATCAATCCGTCAATATATAGGAGATCTTCGACAGAATCTCTACATTTTTCGGACTTTTAAATAAATTCTTTTATTTGGCAATGTGTAATTGATGCAACATATTCCACTTTTAAAACAATTTACAAAATGGATCAGCTACACCGCAGTGAGAACCCTGAATATTCATCGTGAACAAGAAATTCAAAGAAGTTTGAAAAATGTTTGGCTTAGTCAAACTAATTAAAATCAAAGGCTGAACAATTGTTGTCGTGAACAATTAATTCAAAGAAGTGTGAAATTTTTTTGCCTATTGATTGGCATTGTCAAACTTATTATAATCGAATACTGAACAATTGTTTTTGCAGTTCATTATTTGGTCCTTTAAGAAAGCCATTAATAATAATCCAGCTACAAAATTGAGAAAATCTTACTCTGACGAGCAAAGCTTGTACGATGAGAAGTTTGTGTATAATCTATACTATCTCCAATTAAATTATCTATTGGAAACACCATTGTTTAAGATTATTATGAACAAACTAAATTTATAACACTTCGAGAATTATAAATTATTGATTAATCTGGTTCATTAGAAAATCGTAGTTATTATCAGACATAACACTTATTAATTGTGAATTAGAATAGGTTAATAACCAATCTGATTAGCCCTATCGTTGAGTACATTGTATTATAATCCGCACAAAACAAGATTCACGCATGAGTACCTCACGTGTTTCGAATATATTAATAACCCATTTTATAGTCCCTATCGCTGAGAACTTTGTTTTATATCCCCACACAGAACAACATCCACGCATGAGTGTCTCACGTGACTATGTCGAACTGGACGAGGAGCTCAACACACGTTTCTGGCACGATAAGGCCCAGTCCATACTGGCCGATAAGTTGTCGCATCATAAAAAACTCAACGAGAATCGTGCCAAGAATGTGATACTGTTCCTGGGCGATGGGATGTCTGTGCACACGATAGCGGCAACACGTGCCTTCATGGGTGACAGCAACAAGCAGGTCTCCTTCGAGAAGTTCCCCTATGTGGGCCTC